TTCGTTCAAACAATACAGCAACTACTTTAACATTAAATACTTTATATTTTCCAACAAACCTACAATTCTAATAGACGATTAATATAAATAATGGTTCAAATTTAATATGTTTTTGCTTTAAAATCAGAATTTCTAATACATTGATCAAATTATCATGAATGGTATAGTAAATTATTTTATAAGAAAGTAAAATTTGTAAATATAATTAAATTCGTCAGAGAAAATATGTACCTCTGAATATAAGGAAACTTGAATTTATAAGGGAAAATGATAATTTACCTAAAAGAAATTACAAAATGTAAATAAAAAATTTTTAATAGCTCCATCATAAAAATTTAATTACCACAAAACCAAATTTACCCGGATTCCTATAATTTTATAAGCACTTTCAATTATGAGTATAACATAGAACGTTTATCCGATACATTCTAATACAAGAATAATCACGAGAAGATATAATTATTGAAATTATATTTTCAAAATTGAAAAAAGAAAAGAGTTTAAATTAAATCGAAAATAAATTTTTCCATAATTTTATTTCAATCATTTTCAATCTTTTAAACTTTAAGACACGTTTTCATTTAGACGAATTCGTCAACATAAAGTACTTTGAAATCTATTCCGGTTTGGCAATTTTACGCGGTAAAGTATCCTTTTCAATTACTCAATGTTAGTAGTTATGATATATGGTAAACTTTACTTAATTAATTATAATAACAATACTCTAACGGCATACCTTACTTGTTACTGATCGTCTAGGGGGCTGAGATAAAAAAAAAACTTCATCGATCTTTTTAAATTATGCAAATATAATCTTAAATTATAAAATACCCATTCATCATTTTATTCTGTAGTTACAATGGAAAAAGTAAAAAATTTAAACAGTCTTTTTACAACAGAAGCTTCTTGTTATCTACTTCATTAAAAAATTCCTTGAATATTCATAGTCAAACTTTATTATTTATTATTTTTATTGACATTTTATATAACATTAATGCGATAGTTTGTAGTAGAACAGTTAATAGCCATGATAATATAGTGTAAAAACAAAAGATGCGGGATAGTGAAGAAACCTTAAATGTATTAATGTTTAATGTTTAATTTTAATTAGAAAACAATTATAACTGTGCTATATCGTGTATATATTTCCGTAAGATTTTATTTGTCGTTCTCTACTCACAGATCACATCTATCTAAAATATAATCGAAGTAAAATTATCTAATCTTATTTTCATGGATTTATCAAAGACTTAATAAATGATGTAAATTTGAAAATTATCGAACATTTGCTTTATTTTGCTTCTAAATATTTTCATTTAAGATATAATATTCGAATTTTTTTACGCAACTGTTACTCTAACTTATTTCATGACTTGTTTATTTATTTTATTAAATATAATTTTTCTGTATTTTTTTTTTTTTTTGGTAATTTTCAATCTTTCATATTAATATTGATTTTTAAAACTGTTACTTTTAATTTATATATTAAAAAATAGTTTAGAATTCTAATGTAAAATAAATTGCAATTACCGATCTAACAAAAGTATATAATTACTGATTATATAAATAAGCATTTTTAAATACTACATAGCTACAAAATTCCACATACTATTCGTAAAAACTGCGATTGAAAATAAAAATTAACTATGTTATAAATTTATAAAAATCGAGTCGTAGGTAAATTAAATTAAATCGACAATCACCGCATCTAATTCTAGAATGGATAAAAAGAAAATCTAAATTTAGTACGCAGTTATTTGTAATTTCAATGATTGATTTATAATATAATTATTACAAATACAATAATAGCATTTAAAGTACAGACGTTTTTCAATGAAATTGTTCGTGAGCTTAATTTGTAAAAATGTATTATTTACTTTACATATGTATTTTAAATAAATATCAGTACTAATGAAATAATATAAAGTTATTTATTTATTTTAAATTACAATTTCAAAGTTACTACTCTATGCATTTAAATCGAAATTTCCGAATCTAGTGGTGGTTATTGCAGTAATCATAGTTTTTCGCGATTCCATAAATTTTAGATTTGTGAAATAAACAGGAATCTTCGGTAAGTATACATGTTTGATATAAAATAGTCGATCGCTTAAGAAAATTATCTGACCAAAATTGTTGATTAATATTAATTATATAATTAGAAAGCAAATGATTACAAAGGTATTTTTCAATGTTATAATATTAATAGGGGAAATAAGGTAATAAATATAGTTTGTATGAACAAAGTCTACCTAAGTCGTAATTAAACATTAATTTTTTTTTTTTACTTTTATAGTACATTATAATCAATTAAAATCCATTAATTATTTTTAATTCATAAAATTTATTCTTTAAACTTTCTAACTTTCCTTTCGTGATTAAAGAAATTAACAAATCCATGTCCTTTCCGTGTGATCTGTTTGTAATGATTTACAAGTTGCTTAATACAACTTAATAGAATTCTAATGATTGCCGATCCACGCAATACAATACATAACTTTGTACACAGCGCCGCTCGTAGTTATAAATTTAGAATGTCACAAACACGTCAAAGTGTTTATTTAAATTATCATTGCTCGTTACCGAGGCCTGCCGACTATAATAACATTATTACAGCTTTTTACATTAAAAAAAAACATAATAAATCCATTAGGGGGCCACAACGCTTTTACAAGGTAGCTCGAGCTCCCCACCCAAAATTAAGAAATGACCGCGCGAATGAGCATGAAACGCATTGAATGTCCAAATCGTAAATACAGTCTGATTTATCATCGGAGTGCAATCATTGTTTGATAAAACGACGACTCCTTGCTATCGAGTTCCCTCAGCCCCGGCAAAGTTGTTTGTTCGAAAACGCAACCGCGGATTACAGAGACTCACGAACGCTTATAATCAGGTGCTGAAGGCACGACACGGAAAAATGGGCGTGTCCCGCCCGTTATCCTTTTCGTTATTGTCGCACTCGTTTATTCTCGAGCGCTGCGCAAACTCTCCCGAGCCTTGAATGAATAATCGTAATGGCTCGCGGCGCGGCTCATTCTTCAATCGACGAGCGAAAAGCTCGGTAAGTCGCATAAACTGCATAAGCCCCGTGACGCCCTCGTTCGCGCTTTTTGCTTCTGCGAACTGATTGGAACTCGCGTCATGCTTTTATATTTGCCATACTTGGTGTATTTTCCTGCGCATCGGAAGTGCCGGTTGTTCCGCTCTTGAGATATTCCCGCTCTCGAGACATCTCTCGATTGCGCTAATCTAATGTCAGGCGTAGTGGTATCATGCCTTCCAAATTGAGAATATTTATTAAACATTATTAATTTATTTAAAATCATATTTATTATACATGAAAATTGAGAAATTGAGAATCCAAGATAGGCTTTCTCGGACACCCACGCAAAGTGTACGATCGTTACGCAAGAGTTGCCGACGAAGAGAAAGAGCCATTCGCGAAGCAAAGGTCGCCGAGTTGGTCGAAAAGTTCGTCGTCGCATTCAATGCGACAACAGCCGAGAATAGCCGTTGAAAGCGGACGCTTTTTTATTTGCATGGGATGCAGTAATGGCGATATTCGGATTTCCGGGGCCAAGTTTTGCGTCGTCGTAAAGTTTTTCACGGCTTCTTTCACGGCTCCAAAGGCGCTTTCTTTTTCCTCCAGCTCGACGACATTAGCATGTTTCTTGGCCAATGGGGTCAAGACGACCACCCCTAGGCTCACTTTCTTAAAGCGAATTTCAACTTCCCACGCGCTATGACAAGAATAACGCGTAAAATTCTCGCCAACGACCAGTCCTCTTGATTTCTCTTTTCTCCAAATTGATTAATCCTCGCTGATTCAGTAATTGCAATTATTTCGCCTTTAAGCGAAGGCGTCACTTTTTATTATTTACCTCTTCCCACCGAGGACTGCGATTAATGCATTAGCGCTAAATGCAGAATATTTTGCTTTAATTATTGACAAGTTGTTTTTCTTCAAGAAAACGAACGTGCTACCTTTAAAGTGAGCTATTAAATGCTTATTATTATAGTCCCAAGTTCAACAATATGAATTATCATCAATCAATTTTTTGTTTTTACTTTTCAATCTAAAAAATCAATAATAATACACCAGCTTGAACTATTATTGGCTATTATATGAAAAATAAAAGGCTTGTATGTGAAGAAGAAAAAATCTGTTATGTGATAAGACGTTGGAACGTAAAGGGGCATTACAAAGCCGTGAGAGTCAGGTTTTTATTGATTTATATTTATAAAGCATAGATCATTTTCTGCCACTCCCTATAGGCATTAATTAGGTACATTTAACAGAGAGTTTCTTTTTATTTGCATTTACATTATGATATTTAACTTATTGTTAAATCAATGTACTGTTTAAAAAATTAGCTTCTCTCACTTGCACGTTTATTAATAGTTTATTACATGTAGGATGAGTATACCATCTTCGTGAATTAATTATTAAAATGTATAATTACTTTATCAATATAGAAAGATACGTAATTTTTCAGAGAAAAGAAAAGTTTAAACTTGTTAAATAATGCAACATACAACTATTAATTGTAATTCTTATATCATCCATTATAATCAAACGAGTACATTATAATTGTATAACTCGAATGTCATTAATAAAATATTATATTTATAAAAGCATAAGAAAACTATAAAGTAGATGACATTTCAGTTTTGTTTATTTTTTTATGTATCATAAATATTAAAATTAACAAAAAATTAACCGCGCTTTAATAAAAGTATCATCACTTTTTAAACAAAATAACATCGATGCTTGCACTTTGAAAACTCATAAAAAATAGTAAATTAAATTGTACCTTATAATATTTCAAGAATATATGACAAATCTGTATCATATAAAAATACAGTTTGCCATAAGACAATAAAACGAAAGCATATGAATTAACGATTAGATATGTAAATGTTCAACTATTATAAGAACTATTTTATAATCAATCATGGACGTATACACGTATTTCTGTAAATAATTATTACGTCTTAATAGCAATGGCGCACATGAAAATAGGGGGGAATATAAGAAGGGACTGGAGCTGTTGGCTATTGGCAGCCTTCGCGCTACTCGTGGAAGCGGTACCGAGGAAAGCGTCACCGGACGATCCGCCGAATATCGTTCTGATAATCGCTGACGACATGGGCTGGAACGACGTGAGCTTCCACGGGAGCGATCAGATCCCGACGCCGAACATCGACGCCCTCGCCTACAACGGCGTCATCCTCAACAGTCACTATGTCTCGGCGATGTGCACTCCGAGTAGATCGGCTCTCTTAACCGGCAAGCACCCCATTCATACAGGCATGCAGCACCTTGTGATCCTCGAATCCGAGCCCCGGGGTCTTCCACTGCATGAAAAAATTCTGCCTCAGGTTTGTATAAACGTCCGATGTCGCACTAATTAACATACGATTCCCATTGCTGTGGACATTTGCTTGGAGATTTACTTGGATTGACTATTGGCTTTCATTTACCGAAGCAAATCATTTCTAAGCAAATCGAATGTAAAACAGTCGATAAAGCGAATTCGCTATATTTACATCGTTTTGCTCAATAAGATACGAAATGAGCATGATAATTGTACCCGAGCTTCGCTGTGACGTGAACTCACTTCCTTTCTCCTAATGGAACATTGGAAAACGCCATGTAATTAATGCACTACTTTTAAAAAGTCTAGGAATCCATTAATTAGGTAGTGTATCGATCGTAATATTATAATATTTTGCATTCTTTATTACGGGAATAATATTATCGTATTTGTGATCTTTTAAAAATGATAGTTATTGAAATATATTACGAATTACCTATCAAAAGAAGTAGTGAATTAAGTTATTGAAATATTTTCTTATTTAAATAAATCACAGAATGTAATGCAAAGCTAAGAAATATGTTCGAATAATGATTAATAAAAGAATAATCTTGATACTTAAATCGACGTTGTCATGCCTTCAAGTTACAGATTTAATAAACTTGTGAGATGTGATTGATAGTCGCGTGTGATGAAATGACTAATCCATTGTTTATTCTAATAGAAATTACTTTCGTAATTGATCGGTTACTTTTTTCACTAAGGCTATTTATTCTTCAGCCAATTAAAAATTGATAATGTAATTATTTCAGAAATATCTCAAATGAAACAAAAGAATTAAAGGAATAAATGATTTTTTAGCTTGGAAAATTCGATATTTGGCGCAGTTCTTGTATTAAAATTCGAATTAACGGTGAAATATAGAATTGATATCGATGAGTCAATTGAAAATTTAATATGAAAATTTTAATTATTATATTCAATTTACGAATTATTTTATTAAAAATGTTGACAGAATGAGAAAAACGAAATTACAGCATTTTAAAATTAATTTTTCATTTTAAATAACGTTAACTTTATCTTTACAATATTTCTATATTAAAAACTAAATCTAAATTTTATTCATATAATATGTGTAGCTTATATAACTTTAAAATTATCATCCATGAAATAATACAAAACTTAATAAACCACAACAATAAAAATAAATAGTAAATTTAACATGATATATATATATATATATATATATATATATATATATATTAGTTTTTTTTTTTTAATTGACAGATTCAGAAATTCATTATTTTCCTAGACAATATATATACATATATTCTATCGAAATTTTATGAAATTTATTCTATTAAAAGTTATTATTTAAAGAAATTACATATAAACAGATTATTCTAACACTCATTTAAATTTTAATGTAAAAGTTATATCTCCTTTAACGCACATACACTTTGACTTATAATTATAAATTTCATTAAATTGAAATAATTTTTAAAGATATGACTAAGACGATCTGTTATATGATGGTAATTTAAGTAATATTTTCTATTGCATACAATTAAATATATTTCTTGAATCTTGAAATGTATATTCCTTGTACCTAAATATCTATAAAAACATATTGTCGTATTATAATAAATATTTATAAATAAGAAAATTATAAATATCTATAATTTGAGTTTCTTCTATTTACATAAAATATAACTTAAATATTTAACTAAATAATGTGCATAAAATTTTAACATATTTAAATAAATAATGTCATATTAAAATATAGAAATTAATTTTTCATACACTAAAAATAGAAAAGAATCAATACAAAATTATACAGTGAATGTTTAAAAGTATAGAACACTCATAATGAATTAAAATTAGAAAATAAATTATTTCAGTAACCATCAATGTAATATTTATAACAAATACAATTAAAAATTATAATATCTATTATAGGATATAATTAAAGAAATTTAAAAAAAAAAGCGTAGTTCTACTAAATATATTATATTTACAGTTAAAGATATTTCTTGCTTACCGACTAAGTTAAACACTTTAAAAATGTATAAAAATGAATTAATTTTCGTCTATGCTAATTTAACAATATATTTATACTAAACCTAAGAAATTATTATATAAATTTCTATGACACGTACTTTGAAACAAAATATTTCCTAGTTATGCTGAAATTGATAAGTACAATTAAAAATTGAAATACAATATACAGGTTTAAAAATGAATTTATAATAGAAAATTCGTAATATTGAAATAAAATCATTGTTTACCGAATGAGACATTACGTGGTAAACAATTTGAATTCTTGAATAGATTATGTATAAAATAATGAATTTTTTGTACTGAAATATGCAAATTATTCTATTAGAAGAAGATCGTTTTAAAGAACAAACAATACCTTTCTTAACATTTTAATAAATAATCGTATATTGATTAGATGTTGTTTACAAAATTAAATAACTAACATTCTCATTTACTTAATAATGATATAAATTTCATAATTTAATGATAGTAATAATAATAATAATAATAATAATAATAATAATAACACAATTATTTTTACTTATAAATACTCTAACTGATTGAATACTCTAAATGATAATCTAATTGATTGAATCGTTACTTTTTGTTTTGTCACAACAATATTGCTCCTCAAATTTATCTTCGTCATCGCATCACAATAAAATGTGGTAGCTTATTATTATTGCAATAAATTTATCTATAAATTTACTTATAGATAAATTACTATACTCCTCATTTGTAGATTTTTTTATACATTTTTTACAAATAATAAGCATATACATATATATATTTATATATTTATATATCAGTTATATTTATTTATATAAAATATAAAATTATACACAAAGAAAAACTATACAATACATAGCATTTGTATTTAATTAACTTGTTATTTAATTTTTTCATTTAATTAGCTATCCGTCAAATAATTATAACGTAATCTACTATATTCAAATGATATAAAGTAAATGATTTTAGATAATATCTAAAAATCTAATTTCTAAGTTTATTAATGTTTATGAATTGCATTGCATGTGGATTTCAATTTATTTTCAATAAATTGAATTAAAGCAATGTATGAGTAATTATAAAAGTATTTCATTTACATAAAAAAAAACTTGTTACTTTAAAAATAGCAATTCAATCAAATCTTTAAAAATTCATACAACAAGATCTAGTTTTGATATTATCTAATTACAGTAAATAAAAAATTATGTCTATATTCCTAATAACAAAGTTGTAAAAAAAAGTAGTTTTGTAATACAAAAAGATATTATTATTTATAGAGATTATATTATTTATAAGATATATATATATATATATATATATATATATATTTATATATATTTATTATTATATTATTATAAATAAATATTATTATTTTGTAAAAAGAATTGAATGTAAGAAGTTATATTTATAGTAATATTAAAATTTACATAAATTTCTAAGAAACGTGTAATTGCTTTTAATTGTTTTTTTTAATAAACCATTGAATGCATATTTGAATATTTTAATTAAAAACCAAAAACAAAGCAAAAACAAAAAAAAAAAGAAAACAAGAATCAAAAAATAAAAGAAATAATTAATTTGCTTATTGAAATATGTCCATGACAAGTCGAATAATTAATGTCACATGCTCTTATTGTTCTTAAATATTAATGTTTTTGGCTAATTAAAGTAAGGCGAGTAACGGTATTGACATAGCACTTATTTGTTATATGTTTTGAGCGTCTGAATTTGGTATACTAAATATGAAAGAGTACCAATATATATAAACATTAATGCATAACGTTACAAAGTGCGATAGTTAAATGAATTATCGCTGAAAAATTTATGTTCTCATAACGTCAAACACCTACGAATATATATAATAGAATTTTACTAAAAGTCGTAATGTATTTTCATGAACTATTTTTGATTTTAATCTCTTTTCGCAAAATGCAACTCGGTGAATTCGACCGACGATAAAGACACAAGAGCACCACTGTTTCTAAACGACGTCATATTTGTCTTCACGCTCCCTTAAATATATCGTATGTTTTGATAGTACTTGAAGGAAACTGGCTACAGGACGCATGCGATCGGCAAGTGGCACCAAGGCTCATATCGTCGCGAGTACACACCGACGTACCGAGGTTTTGACTCCCACTTCGGCTACTGGAACGGTCTCCAGGATTACTACACGCACGAGGTGGCCTCGTCGGTCGACTCGGAGAACTTCCTCGGCTTCGATATGCGCCGTAACATGAGCGTGGCCCGTGACACTTGGGGCAAGTACTCGACGGATCTTTTCACTGAGGAGGCGGTACGACTGATCGAGAAACACCACCCGGAAGCCGGACCGATGTTTCTCTACATGGCTCACCTCGCACCCCATAGCGGCAACAAGTGGGAGCCCCTCCAGGCTCCCGACGAGGAGATCGCCAAGTTCGCCTATATACGCGACCCCGAGCGCCGTATTTATGCAGCGATGATGTCCAAGCTCGACGAGAGCGTCGGCGAGGTTGTTGCTGCGCTCAGACGCAAGTCCATGTTGCACAACAGTATTATCGTCTTCATGGCCGACAATGGCGCGGCCACTCAGGGTATTCACTACAATCGGGGCAGCAATTTTCCGCTACGCGGGGTGAGTTGTGTATCTTCCACCCCTACCACCTCCCCGCCATATCCTCCTCCTCCGCAGTTCTCGCCTTAACCATAGATTTTGCGCGAATCGAGCGATTACGAGGCTAGAAAGTGCTGAATGAGCCCTTTCTCTAAGGTGATGGCAAAGGGAAATGCATGAAAAGCGTCCGATAACCACGCCTTCGCACGTTTTCCATTCGTATTATTGAGGTCGTTACGAATATTAGATAGTTTTTAATGTTGGAATAATAATGGTCGGGATGATTTATGACCGTCCGCCTGCAAAATCATATCGCTCGATTAACGTTAGCGCGTGTGAATTATTCGACTACATGTACTGTGCCCATTACAAGGATTACACTATCCTAGGAGGACATTATTGGCATTTCAGTATCCAACGTATTCAAAATAAGGATTCGATTTTTAAATAAAACCTTATAAATATGTATAGGTTGACAAAAATATTTCATTCGCTTTCTAAAATTATAGTCCTAGTGAATCCTTGAATATTTTATATAACTTTACCGGTTAGTGAGATACCTTTTTAATTAAATTATATTTTGTATGTAATTTATTAATACAAATAATCACATTTTACATATAACGTATCACACGTATAAAAGAAACAATTGAGATAAGTTGACTGAACTTTAATTTGTTTGTTTATGGCACTTTCCATAAAACATAAACACACAATAAAATAAATTCATAAGATACTTGTTTATTTCATTAGCTTATATTTTCTGCAATAAAGCTCAATTATTATTATTGAATTGCTTAATGAAACTAGCAGTGATAAATCCTAAGCAATAATTATTAATATTTTCTTCTGGAAAATAAATTTATAATAGTTAGGTTTAATCTCTGTAAAATTGAACAAAAGATTTCACAAGAAACTTCATTATGTATGGATAAACTAGATTAGTACTTGGTGTATTAAATCTTAGTCAAACTTAGAAGAAAAAAAAAAGAATCGTTTGAGCGGAATAAATGAAAAACGAATCTTGAAATAATATTAGAACGTATTATGTACTTGTAACGATATTATGATAGAAAGATAAAGTTGGTAATTGTATAATTAGATATATTTATATAATCGAGTAGAATATTGCACAAGATATTTAATACTTCAATTCTAAATCAATTTTTTAGAAAACAAATACAAAAAAAACATTAATAAAAGTACCATCGTTTTTTCAGTTTTTATATAGAATACAATGCATTTTTTTTTTTTTTTTTTTTTTTTTTTAAGTTTTAACGTAAATTCTTAATTTTGAATTTGAGAAACTTATTGAATGATTTAACCATAATTTAACAAAATAATGTAAACAAACAAATATTTGAAGCGAACTACTACTAATGTTAATATGAGTAAAATAATCAATGGAAATTCAAATTAAATTATCCCCTATAATTTATGTTAGAAAGAAACATAAAATTTTATTGAATTAAAAAGTGAATTCTATACTTTCTACGTATTGTTAAAAAGAAAGTTTAGTTTGAATAAAATAAAGATACCCAACTAATTTATAGATGACAATTCTATTTCCATTTTATAGAGAATTTGCAAATGTCGTCAGTTCGAGCTTGCCAAATTAAAAAAAAATTTGTATGTAATCTCATAGATACGATATTAACGTTATTAAAAACTTTTTTAGTTTTTATTTTAATTTAAAATTATTCTAGACATTATTCTTATCACAATGCTGCAAAAAAGTCAAAACAAAATTATAAGCGTTTTGAAAATATTAGCAATTGCAATAAGTAGTCTTATGGAAATTCTTACATTGTATTATTATATTATATTTTGCACTTCTAAATCAATGATAATGGATGAATGTTTTTATTCTCAAAACATAATAACTAATTGTTGTATGTTAAATATTATTTTAATGAAATCACTGACTCTATAATTAATGAGGCAATTCATAAGAAATATTCCTTCATTTAAACAATTTTTTGGATAATTAAAATGAAAATTAGAATCATCTCTTTGTATAAAAAAAAAAAATGCTTTAAATTTACTTTATAATATTGCATTTTAGATCAAATTAAATCATAATATTTATTAATGTTACGAATTATCGAAATACTTTAATTTATATTAATCGATATGTTTCTTTTGTGACATTTATGAAATAAATATATTGATAAATTTAATTAAAATCCTTTATACAATGTGTTATTAAATATATATAAATTCAGTATACGGAAATTTAATATAATTTACGGCATATGATTGCCACAAAAATAAGACAATACAATAATATACAAGTGATATGATAAATTGTATAATGTAGGGCGAGTCTGATTTTTTTTTTTTTAATTTTTTTAAATATTTCATTTGAAAGTTGTACGAATATTCATTAATTTTGTAATATTCATTAGTGTCATTATACAAACAATTTTCCATTGATATTCTTATACCCATTTGCATTCCTTTTACCGTATTCAGTGTTTTTTTTTTATATATCAGTATAGTAATAATCTAATGCTGCAAATTAATACAAATATACAGTAATATACACACTAATATAAATAAGTATTAAAAAGTCAAGTTTTTGGTATTTTGGTGTAGAATAAATGAGGCAAGATAGGGCTTAAGAAAATATTCTTATTTGCTTTTTAATATTACTCGAAGCTACAATTTTCTAAATAAAAAAATTAAATAGACAAATATGTTCTAAAAGAACTTATTATTTATGACTATTTAAGTAGTATAAGAATTAAAGGATAATTGGTTGTGAAAAAATATTGATTTCTTAAGCATAACCATAGATACATTCAAATATTTATTTAACAAATAATAAAAATAAAAACTTTATTTCTCATTGATATTAAAATAGTTTGTAGAATATTTCAAATCAACTTTTAATTAATCACCTCGTATATTCTGGACATATAAACAATTGTTGTATTTAATATTTCCTATCGAATAAAATCATATATTAAAATATATCTTCTGTTAGCTCTATCAGCATCGCATTAAACATTCGCAGTAAAATTTTGTATCCTTTTTGTTTTTCGCAATTTGATTTGAATTTCAATGACCGTAGATCTTTTTAATGCCAACTTAAACAATCATGAAAATTCACCGTCTTAGGTAGATCGATAACGAAGAGTGATTACAGTCAAAGAAATCTTTAAGCACCTTAGGTCTTATTATTGTCTAATTTGATATTTAATATTTATGAATCCATAAATTTATTAGCTACGATGCCTTTTTCATATAAAATCCCGTCTCGACGGTTAATAAAATAATCGCTGCTTTCTTTGTACACTAAAAACGTACATAAAGCGTATAAACGCAATAAACTGTACAGAAACGACGGGACATTGTTAAGTAAAAGCTAAGATAAATTAAGTAAAGCGGAAGGAGAAGTTTGGAAGTCGTAAAAGACACGTTTGCATTCCAGATAAAGGCAAGTGCGTGGGAGGGCGCAGTTCGCGGCACAGCTGCAGTCTGGAGTCCTCTGATCCGGCGGCCTAAGCGCGTCTCCAGTGACCTCATGTACATCGCGGACTGGCTGCCGACCCTGGCCTCGGTCGCGGGTATAAGGCTGAACTCGGGCTTGGACGGTGTCGACATGTGGCCGAGCATCAGTGGCGAGGTCGTAGTGCCCCCAGCCCGCAACGAGGTACTCGTCAACATCGACCCGATCTTCAACTACTCGGCGATCCGACGCGGTGACTTCAAGTACGTCCTCGGGTCTGTCGGGAATGGCGACGCCTGGTACGGGGAGAGCGGCCGACCCGGAGCCGACCCCGCCGAAGGTTCCAGCCCCAGCTACGATCCGGAGAATGTACTCATGAGCAAGGCCGGGACCGCCATCTCTGGACTCCTCACCGCCAATCAGGTTTGCACACCAATACCAATGAGCTTGCACTCCTTGTTTTTTTTTTTTTTTTACGTTCCTACCTACGCCCTCTCATACGCTCGTAATACCGTCACTTTTATCACTACTGAATAACAAAATGCACGCCCATTATGAAATAACTACGCTGCAGAACGCAATTTTTACAGATTTTGCGAAAAGAAAAAAGAAAAAGACAAAAAATGAAGAACTTGATTATTTTTGGAGAATGATGTTGATCGGTTAATAGGAAATTACATTAAATAATACAGATTTCAAATTTTTCTGACGAGCGTAAGCTCAACGTAGAAAGTTCTACTGTCGCAATCACTTCGTGTTAATCATTTCATGCATTGTAAATCATGACATTGGCCCCTTTTGAGATTTTGCGTATACTTTCGTTAAAATTTGGCTAACTAAATCTAACGAATAATAATCGACATTCTTTTAGAAATTTCAGCAAAATAATTTTATTACCAAAATTATGTGAATTGTTTATTACTTGAAAAGGTATTTTCATGCTCATGATTTGCGAAGGGTAAAAATTATTTTTAAATAAAAGAATTTTGTGTGTATCTATATATATGTGTATGTGTGTGTGTGTGTGTGTGTGCGCGCGCGCGCGCGATGGCAATTTCTGATTGGAAAAAGAAGAAAAAGAAAATTGTAACTTGAGTAGAGAAATATCTGGTTTATTACTTCGATTTCTGAGAAATGACTAAAAATGCTCGTATTTCAGTATTTTTTCAGGAACTTTTGTAATAAAATGGGGGGAAAAAAAATTGTGTTTAACATTGATTTTATGAATAACATTGAAATAATAAAACTGTCCTTAATATTGTAATAAAATTATATTCAATGGCATATGAATTAAAATTCAGCAAATCGTTTCGATACAATATGCAAATCTTAATCATTTTAATGTCATGTTAGTATTACAAAATATTTGCATAATAATATTTCAAAATGTATTTGCCTTAGACTCATTATAGATAAAACTTTTTCAGTCGAAAACAATCATCGTGTATGTATAATAATCAGCTTATTTCTTGAAATTTTATCAGGTAACCGAGGTCAGAGCCGTAAGAAACGATGGCTATGAGCGTGTGAAAGAAGAGGAAATGGCCACGACGAAACTACTTACAGCCGATGAGTTGCTGAAACTTAGATCTATAGCTACGTTACATTGTACTACGCCGGAAGTCGAATGGGTAAGTGTCATTTCATGTTAATACGAAATTAATTTTTTTTTATTACTTTTCTATTAATGTGCATGAACGATGACAGTACATCTTAACCATACACAAGTTATTTGCTACGAGCGTACATTTTTAAAGATAAAAGATCAAATTAGAATTTAGGGATGGAAAATAGTAATGTGCGCGCTGTGCTGATTTTTAAACGTTATGTGAAATGTGAAAAAGCAGAGCTAGATTAGCGGTTCCATTACAAAATACTGATTTACGCAATCGACAGTTTGCGGCTTTTACCAATTAAAAATTTCAATATATGAATATATATATATATATATATATATATATATATAGCAAAAATCACATTTATCATGAATTTTTCTTATTATTTACGCTCATTATCATAGATTACATCAAATGTATTAATTACAATGAAACACAGGGATATTCATGAAATTTAAATAATAAAGCTCATGATCGTCAATGATATTTTATTCTAATGATTCGGAATTCATACGCGACAAAAGTAATTGCATTTAAAATTTTGAAAACCATATCCAAGCGAACGAATGGTTGGAAAATTATATTAAATTTATTTATACAACCGAATAACTCAAAAATGTCTAATAAAATTATACGATAGTATAATTTAGCCGAAACTACTAATCCAATAACGATAAACAAACAGTTGACCTAACTTATATTGTCCGCCAATATACTATGTATAACTTTATTACATTACATATGTTTATTTGTTTTTTTTTTATTCTCTTAAGTCCTTTCCGCGCTATTGTTTTTCTATACACGTACTAATGCATATAAACTGCATTGATAGGTTTTATATATATATATATATATATATATATATAAATCAATTCATAATATTGAGCGTAAGATTAACGATAATAAGGTGAATTTTTTTTTTCATTGAGCAAATTACTTTCGTAATGCGGTATTAAAATGCTATATAACTCCGAGGAAAAACTTCTTTCATGTGTACATAATTTAAAATAATGAAAAAATTCTTTTTACGTTTTCTCTGATATTGATTGTATAGAATAGAGCGACATAAATCTAAAAAAAAAAGAAAGAAAAAAGACTGCGTTTCCTTTAGTATTCCGTTAACAATTAAATATTTAATGATATGTTTATTACGTGATTGAAGTCAGAGTTATGTTACAAGTAATTAAATTAAGTACTTTAATGAATTCCTATACTCTTCATTCAAAATTAAAATTAATTTATAAATTCTCCGAAAAGAAAATTTGCAATTTAATAAATTATATTCTAAAAATATTCATGAAAAATAGATTAAATTTAAAAGAAACAAAATTTTTATATAAGCATTTATATAATCTAAATATAAATTTAAAATTATTTAATATTGTTTTCATTACTTTTTTCATAGATATTAAAAATGTTAAAATAATCTTTTATTTTTTATATACAAGATAAGTAAAATCATTTTAGCTTTATATTTATTAAGTTTCATTAAATTATTAATAATTAAAAAATGTAACTGTCCTTTACCAAAAGAAAAACATGAATTATTTTCATTTAATAGGTATGTTTAATTCATGAATTTTTAACGCATTTGTACAAAATTAATTACCAACATTACAAATGTCATCAGTGATTAGCGATTCGAATCAAGAAATAGCATAAATGAAAATTTTTTAATTTCATATATGCTTTCCACTTAGAGATTTCATTATTTCTTGCATCGAGAAATTTAACAGTTCGTGTAGATCGATTAACAAACAAGAAAGAGAAAAAATATATCACTGTAACTATAAAAAAACTTGTAAATAGGAAAAAATATTAATTCTTGGTAAATACATTTGTATTGCAGCAAATTTGTCAAAGTATCGATTAAAAATAAAAAGTCGATCGATAGATACCTATTTAATGTACAATTGAAGGTCGGATCATTATGAGTGTTTCTAAGAAAATCTTCTCATCGATCTCGAGACCTTCGTCTGATTGCGCAACATCCATTCTAACGAAATTGCAATTGAAATGTTTGATTTTTCTATTACGTACGTTAGCATAGGAAATAGATCAAATTTTGTTACGAACGCATAATGGTAAAAAAGAAAAAAAAAGAAAATAAAAGAAAAAAAGAGAAGAAAAAGGAACGATAAATATAACTTATCGTTAATAAGAAGTTAATTATTCCACTTCTAATTATACCTGCTTACGTTAATTCTGGCTGCCGTGAATCATCGTTCCAGGTCGAATGCAAGCCCCTGGAAGCGCCCTGCCTCTTCAACATCAAGGAAGACCCATGCGAACAGCGCAACCTCGCTGAGAGTCGGCCAATGCTCCTGGCCACCCTGGAGGAGGCACTTCTCAAGTACCAAGTAACGGCAGTGCCACCGAGCAATATACCAAACGATTTGCGGGCCAATCCCGCTCTGTGGAACGATACCTGGGTCAATTGGCTCGACGACGACCCTTTGGAATTCCTCGTCGACGATGTGAATAAAGATCATCTCGACGATCCAACCTCCAAGCTTTCCGGTCCGATTATCGCCACCCTCGCGATCATATTGGGCCTCGCGCTCCTTGGCATCGTCACTTTTATCGCGCTCGGCTGCAGCCGGGAGTACAGTAAGCTTAGGAAAAAGCAGCAACAGTCGGCTTATCGTAGCTCCACGTAAGTTCTTGGACCATGGATTTTCTTGATTATCAATGTCTCGTTCATTATGACTCGAGTGATTTGCATAGTTGAGCCTCTTGGCCAAGTTTATTGTAGTCTCGTTACAAATTACCAAAAAGCTTTTATCTTTGATTTTGTCGTTGATGCTAATGTGTCTCAATATAAAGGTATATAAAGGTAATTAAATTAATTAATGATAAATGATTAATAATTTCTTATCAAGCATTGTTCCGTTATTGCAATACAAACTAGATCTACCTAAACTGATAATAATTTACTATCAAAAACTGTGTAATTAATATAGAATAGCATCATAAAAACAATTTTTAACTTTTCTGTTATGTTAACTCCAAATCGAATTGAAAGTGTGATCATTACTAAGCTAATATATATATATATATATATATATATATATATATATTTATATTAAAGTATCGAATATATATTAACTGTAAATTATTAAAATATAAAATACTTAATGACGTTTGGATAGATGTAATTACTTTCCTTGTGTGAATAAAGTCGAAAACAAATTAAAAGCACGAATATGTAAGTCAATTTATACAGTTAGTCTTTACGAAATTATAGATATTGCTGGTAATTTATCAGTTCAAATTTAGATTAACTTTTCCATTTCATCAAAAAAAAAAAAATAAATAAATAAAAAAAAATATATATATTGTTATTGATTTTTAGTCCTTTTCAAGAAGTACAGCAACCGAGTGAGACAATAGCTGTACTGGAGCAAGGATTTCCGGACGAGAGTCACGTAAGGTCAAAGATACTAAACTTGAATGATAGAAGTGAGATGAACGATACAAGATCTATAGAAACCCACACAAATTTTAAGAAAGGCATCGAATGAGAAAGATCCAGAGGTCTACTATCAGTGCGAAAACTAAACCAAAATATAACATTGTGCTCGGATCGAGCGTTAATCACTTGAAAAACTTTATTGAAGCTCACATGAGACAAGTCGTTAAGTATATATATATATATATATATGTGTGTGTGTATGTGTGTGTGTGCGCGTGTGTGTGTACATTTTCGGAAGACATTACGTAAAAGTTTTTGACAATTGCGAGAGTAAATAAAATTTTTGCCGAAAATTATTAACGAAGAATGTGAAATTTCCAGTTCTATACTTCCGCTTGAATAAATAGCTCCAAGACAAGAAATTATGTCTATTTAATTTTTCTTTCTTTCTCATTATTTTGACCGCTACAAAATTTACACAATTATTAAAATTATTTAGCAATATTTTAATTTAATAATTTTAATAGCGAGACTTTTAATATGTACTTATTAATAAATATAAATTAAAAAACATTAAAATTTTTTCTCTTTTCTTTTTATTAATAAATAAAACTATCGCGAATATTTAAAAAATTAATTTTTATTCTAATTTACGAGTATACTCTTAATGCTTAAAACTACGTAGGTTCATATAACATTTATTAAATAATATTCATACAGTGACATTAAATTTATGTCATATGATAATTTATCAAATATATTTTGACTTTGTTAAACGAAATAGAGTAATTAAAATTTAAAAGCTAAATATATGTTTAAAAAATATATCAAGTTGTACATTATTAGTTTACAAAATACTATGATACTCGAGTTAATCACTACCTCACGAAGATGGTTGTTTTACACTCATTCTCTACGATATATAATCTATTATATCATTGAAGTAAACAAAATATGTTTCTTCTCGATATTCAAGAAGAATCTGCAAAATGTAATTTATAAAACGTACACTGCAAGCGAAGTAATATTTTTACAAATGTACAAACCGCGTTTTATTCTTTTAAGAATCGCCAATAAATGTAAATCGATAATTGTATGTATACATGTATATAATAAACATCAGGCAAGGCTCCTTATTTTCAATTAGTAAACTATATTTTTATTTGTCTGTACAAAACTGAAGCAGATCCACTGTGACTGCGTCCAAAGGATCTATCAGTGTCTACATTACATATTTATCACCATTGAGTGATTTATTTTAATCTTTCTTTAATTTTTAATTACATGAGAATATTAGTCGCCAAATGACATATCACATTCCCTGAACGAGCGCACTTTTATCATTGATAATTACTGGATTTTGTGAATCTATACAAGAGCGTAACAAAAATTTAATTTTACAAATAGCGCCTCAACTCTACGTTCCATCATTACTCTTTATATCTAACTTGAATACAATTCACATCATTGTAAAACAAACAAGTGTATGATTTTTTATCTTTCCTTTTATCCTTCTCTTTACTGTCCACGCAAAGGCAACTCTGAAAATACAACTTTGTATTTTACGAATCAATAAACAAATGCATTCGTTATACAGATACAAATTTTTTAAATTCTCATTTGTTTTTTTCCATGCTACATATATATATAATACATTTGACTTGCTACCGATGGGCAACAAGAGTAATTATTATTGTACGCTGTCCTTTTCTTTCTAATTGTCTGACAAATAAAAAGCACAACGTGAATGCTGATAAGAAGCCCTACAAGGGCTTTTCAAACCTTTATACGTAGTATAGATTTTCAAAGCTAATGAACGATTAGCGATCTTTTGCTTTGGATTCCACTTCACAAGGAATGTTTATTGTAAATAGATGAAGATATAGCTGATGTTATTTCTGCTTTTGTTCTTTCGACTTCTCCTCAATCACATGTGTACTATTTTCGGTGTGCTGTAAGAAATCAAGAATAGATTAAAAAAAAAAAAAAAAAAAAAAAAAAAAAAAAAAAAATTTAATTCAATGAAAAATAATTAATATTAATTAATATACAGTGAATTGCTCTTTTACAAATAAGATTTAAGCAATGATTTGAATAAAATTGTATTACTTAATTAAAGATCATATTTTAAAAGCACCAGTAATAAATTAATTTTTCGATGATTGCTCAATACTATTTAACATTATCTATTACAATTCATCGTCGAATGATTAGAAAAATAAATAAAAATCGTGAAAAAACATTACATTGAAATGCTTTAAAATGAAGATAGACTTATCAGTGTAGTCACCATTAAGTATTTTGCAACGATGAAATAATACGTACTTGTATATATATCGATATAATACATCTTACATACCTCTTTCCCCATAGCCAATTCATTAAAACGCTCGATTGACTCTGAACGTCCCGCGCTGTAATAAGAAATTTTTATGTTAATGGTATTATTAACGCTGATTGATCTCTCTTTCTAGCAACGCTATTTATCATAGAATATACCAAATTGATTACTGTCAAAATAAAATGCAAAACGATTGGACATGATTACACAGAATATTTGAAATAATGCCAATTGCAAAAAATGTTTAAGCACTTTTCTAAAATACGAAGTACTTGTGGTATTTTTTTTTTTTTGACGCCTTGCTTGTTACAATACTCAATAAGCTCTTTCAATAACGCGTTAAAGCTTTCGGTAAAAAAGATAAAAGTACTATTATCTTCTTCGTATAAATGAGCCGATTAAAAGAATTCTTTATGAATTATTAGGATACAATGAAGCTTTAGCACGAATATAAAATGCAAATTTGATAATGATTAGTCCACTTGAATTTCCGGTGCAGTCTTTTCCAATTAGCACCAAATAAGATAATCTTCTGAAAGAGCGAGCCAACCCCCATCACACAATCCCCCTCGTATACGTACAAAGCGTGTAATTGGCATTCACCAGCCTGGTGGCAGTGTCCGCTGGTAATGTACTCGATACGTCCCCGTGACCGAGCAGCGACATTTGCTGGGCGTGTCTCAGCTCTCGCTCGTCACTCAGTCGTATGTCCCGACCTTGGTCCACGCTCTTCAGCTGTGACAACCTGGATGAGCAATTTAAAAAATCTAGCATTTACAAGGGACGTCTACCGGGGATACGAAGCTATGGGCTACGTGCAGCAGCGGTGATACGTGTTTAAGCATTTCTCTTATTGATGAGGGACCAAACGCAAGCTCAACTAAATGTGCTCGAAGAAATTCATACGACATTAATGATTTTCTCAGTATTTATTTAATTTACACCTCGAGGAGATTAATTATTTATTTAAAATGTCACTTTCCGGCTTAGCATTCGTTTTTTTTTTTTTTTATGTTTAACGTTTTCAAGAGAAGTCGGTGTGAGTATTTGTAATTACAGCCAGTTTAAAATGATTAAAATACAAGATATGTATGATCTCATATTTTTATATAAAGTCCTTAAGTTTCTTATGTCCAGGCTCTTAATATTCGTAGAAGCTCTACAAATACAAGTACATTACTAATTAAATAAACAAGCCATCGAACAATATGATTTCTCACTTTCAATAATTAGAGAATATCGTCTGTCGCATCTAATGGAATAATAATAATAATAAAAAAAAAGATCGCGTCCGGGTGCGGACATATCACTAATCAACTAGTTAAAAAAAAAAACAAAGAAAAATAAAATTAAAGAAAAAATAGTCATAGATAAGCGTGTCATGAAACGTGAAGCTTCGCGTGTTTTCTCACTCTGAACGGCAGCTCTCCGTCCGCTTTAAAGATACTAACAGTTTAAAAAAAAAAAGTATCGGCAAGGTAAACATACTTCTGAGCAAGAGCCTTCTTATCTTCGTCGATCGACGAATTAATGGCCTCCCTGGCAATCTCAATTGGATCTTCCAGTTGGGAAGACGAGGGATTACGGATGAGAGGCTCGACATGCTCGGACATCAACTCCGTCGGCGACACATTCCTTCTTAGATTTGAGACTGCCGCTCCCAGATTGTACTTCCGCAGCTCCTCGTTGACGCGTATGGCGTTCGACAGCCTCAGCTGCAGGGTGTCGCGCTCCTCCAGCAGCTGTATAAGCTCGTGGGTGAGTTCCTCGCAGCGTACGTCCCGCTGATGCAGCATGTACAAAGCGAGATCGAGCTCGTCGGCCGCTGAAGACGAGGCCACGGACTCCGGGCCTGACTCCCTTTTTGGACTTTCCTGTAACTGTATGTAGCACATGGTTATCTCGTTAAATTTGCCTCACTCGTGCACTCGCATATCGATATTTCGTACGATTGATTTGGAAAAGTCCGCTCGATCATTATCACAAAACATACGCACATAATATATCGATACTTATAATATACTTTGTGGGGGAGTATAATAGTAATTTTAGGCTAAACATTAGCCAAATGTCGCAGATTGCATGCTAAGCTAAATCGTACTCAACTTTAAAAAATTCTTGTATAATTATATTTTCGATTCAGATAAATGTAAAAATCTAATGATTATAAATTACAAAGTTAAGTGCATTAAGAACCGTATTATCTAAAACGGAAAATTAAGAAAATAAAGTTACCAAAGGCCTGAAGGAACAAGCAACTCGACTACAGAGCCGATCGTTAAAGACAAATGTCTTTAAAAAGACTAAAGCTTCAGTTAAATTGCAATATAAATGTTAAGGGAGCGAACCGATTAATAAACGAGCTTACGATATTAGACGCGACAATTAACGAGCTTTTACAAATACGAGTTTTTACAAATCTGCAAGCAATTAAGCAACATCAGATTTCATTTACTTTGCCATTAACAATTTGTTAATTATCACAAGAATTAATAAAGTCGTTTAATTAATGGGCATGAATGTACCCGTTGATGCTGCTGCTGTAGCTGCTGCTGCAGCTGCTGATGTTGCTGCTGCTCCATCAATTGTTGCTGCTGCTGTTGATGCAGCTGCTCGTGTAGTTGCTGCTGCTGTTGTTTCTCTTGACTAGATTGTTGAGAGCCGAGAGAGTGCCGCTGTAGCGCATATTCCATCAGTTCGAACTCCTTGACCTTCTCGGCAATCTGCTGGTTAAGACTGTTTATTTGCAGCTCCTTGATCTGAAGTAATCGACGTAATTC